TAGAAGTAAGCTTTTTCCAACAGAGCCCAGCAATCACTTTCGTGGGCATTCTTCCCCAAGAAACCCATAAACCTGCACACAGATGCTCGTAACTTACCCATAGTAACTAAAGTACAGACAACAACCCTTGAAGGGATACACTGTGTGACGGTTAAACAGCTGACCCCCTCCTGCCAAGAATGCAATCCAATGGCCCAATATGGACTACAGTAAGCAGGATGGAATTCTAGGAAATAATGTGGAGCTGGTTTTCTTTTTCTTTTAAGAAAGAACAAAGAGAAAGATGACGTGACTATGCGATCCATTTATTTAACTGTCTTGAAATGACAGAACTTGGGAGGTGTGGATGATATGGTATTGTCAGAGGTCACCTGTCATCCTTAGGGACAGGAAGACTTTGGTCAACAGTGGTGGTGACTACTCAAAATTTCATTTGTGTGGGGGCGGGAGGGGGGGATACAGGAATAATTGGAGATGGGGGGGGTGTCTATCCGTGCTGCACCATTATCCAGTTATGTGGCATTGTTTGTAGTCAGTATCCTGGGGCCTGGGAGCTGTAGCTCGGTTAACAGAGTTCTTGCCTAGCCCCCAGAAGCCCTGGGCTGAATCCCCAGCACCACATAATCAAGAATAGTGGTGCGAGCCAGCTCTCAGTTGGAGGCAGGAGGATCAAAAGTCCGAAGTCATCCTAGACTACCTGCTAAGGTCCAGGCCAGGCAGGGCGGCATGAGACCCTGTGTCAGAAACAAAACAGCACCAAAAAAGCCTGCGTTCTTTCTTAGAACTGCATGTAAAATACTCTGGTCTGATTTTCTAACTGCGTGAGTGCTACCGGATTGTATGCGTTCCTAAACATGCTACACGCCTTGAAACACACAAAGACAAGGGACAGGTGATTATTTCTTAAATTTGGGGACACTACCTTGCTCTTAAGTGCCACCCCATCCCGTTGTTGTCAGCGACTGCGGGGTATTGGATCTAGGAGTGGGCAAGGAGAATTCAGGGCCTGGACTCGCCGCGACCAGGTGTATGTAGAGGTGGGCGTTGATGTGAGTGAGAGGCATGACCCAGAAGGAAAGCGGCAGGGCCACGCTTCCCCTCCTGTTAAAGAAGGTAACAGGCTAAGAAGGTGCCATGCAAGATGCCTGTTGGAGAAGGGTTTCAGGAGGGTGCTGGAGCCTCGGGAACGCCCTCCGGCGGCGCAACTTTCAAGAGGCAGTGGCCGGCGAACGAACCCCCGGGAGCAGTGACCGACCCCGCCATGCACAGAACCAGGTAAGAACGGAACTCGGCGGCACGGAGGTGCGGCCTCCCGGCAACCGCCCGCAATTGTGCTGGGCAGTGCGGTTCTCAGAGGCGGCGCCGGGTCTCGGAAGCTGCGGCGGAGACGCCAAGGAGGCTGAGAGCGCGGGGAGGGTGGGGCGTTGCGGAGATCTCGCCGGCGCCAGCCCAGGAGCTGCGGCTGGCTGGGGGCGCGCTCACCCAGGCACGTGGGTGTGCAGCCACCGGCGCCGCCCGGCCTGCGCTCTGCAGCACCTCGGTGCGGATGCAGGCGCGGGAGCAACGGCGTTGGACAGGGTTGGGACACGGCCCGCACCGCATCCTGGCCAGACGCCTGGAGGCGCTCTCCACGCGCATCCCTTCCCTGCTGCCCCGGACTCCTTGAATTTCCGGAGTGGGAAGCCGGGAAAGCTTGGAGGCTTTGTCCAGGGATGGCTGGGGACACTGAAGCTTCCAAACCTTTCCCTCACGCCCTGACTAGGGTTGGTGGGGCAGAGACAGATGGACATTGACCTGCGGAACTCCCTAGGATTTCACGTGAACTCTACCCATGGCTGAAGCCGGGACCCTGGGGTAGCCGTTGGGTTCCACGTGGGTGCACCCGGAGCTGGGGCAGCCGTGGCCCGGTTGCGGATCGCCGTCGTAGGCGCTCCTCAAAGGCTGCTCCCAGCCCTAGGCATCCAGGCATGGTTGGTGTGGGTGCAGCCGAAAGCGCTGGGGAAGGAAGGTGGTGGGCGGGGCGAGAGGTGAACTGCCAACAAGGAGGGGCCAGAAGGCACTAGAAGGTAGAGGTCCCACTGTCGCAGCAACTCTGGAGTGGGCGCAGTGGAGTCGACAGGGGCAGTAAGGTCCCTGCCAGGCGTACTATGGTCCCGGCAGGCCTTGGTCGGCTCTAAGAATGAAAGGAGGGGAAATGACGGGCCCAGACTCTTGCTGATGCTGGCCGACCTGCAGCGATTTGGCCATAGGGACTTGGAGAAAGGGGGTTGGGGGGAGGGCAGTGCCTACACTACACTATAGAAAGGAATGGTGGCACTTAGCGAAGCTCTGGAGGGCATGCCTGCAGACAGGAAGCCTTTGAAATCCATCTTATCTCGGGACCCCCAAGCTGCCATCTGTCCCCTTCCACCACGCCCTCTTCGCAGCTTTCCAAGACTAACCTGTCGATACTGCCAGCTTCCTTTCAGATTAAAAGCCAGGACAAATTCTGTACCTTATTAGTCCACCCCACCCGTCACCATAAAGCGGCTTCTCGCAGCCCACGCAAGGTGTGGTCACTCCAAAGACACAGCTCCGCAGACCTCGGACCGAGCCGCAGGAGGACGCTGAAGGCACAAGCTCTGCAGCGACCTGTCCGGTTCAATGTCACCCCCTTCATCCCGAGTGTTGCGCGCTTTCTCAACAGGGCGTGACCCTGTAGACACACCAGCATGGTCACTGCCGCAAACACCCCTACCCTTCACTGCAAGGCGCGTCTACCCCCCCGCCCCTTGTCAGCTACATCCGGCCGTCTCCCTCTCAATGCTCCCCAAGGGCAGGACGCATGAAAGTCCAGGATCTGACACCACCACTCACCTCCGGACCCATCGTGCGTAGCTGTGTGCGTTTAACTGCACAATCATTCCCAGACGTGCAAGATACAGCATGGGGGGGGGCAGGGATCTACAGTTCGAGTTCAAAAACACAGTCTTGAGGCTCTGAAGGGGCATTCACGGCCTGTCTAGGCTTCTGTATATCGCATCTTTGAACACACGCCAGACCCTCGGAAATTATCTCTTCAGGCCATGCCACAAGTGTCCAGTATTCTCCCAGCTTTCCTGAGAGAGGGTTGGGAGAGCAAGGTTAACTGTGAAAACCCTACGACCTGTGTCTTCTGATTTTCTGGCCATCACCAACTTTCTATTTTAAAGTGGTGGTTAACATCAAAATTAACACCTGGAAACCCAAAAGTGACCCAGCTTCCTTGCTAAAAGGTGTTAAAAGGTGTGTGTGTGTGTGTGTGTGTGTGTGTGCGTGCGTGCGTGTGTGTGTGTGTGTGTGTGTGTGTTAAATGGATTATTTCCCCCTTTTGTGTGGTGTAGTTTGGAAAACGACAGAGAGGCATCAGCTTGAAAATTAGATGCTCCTTAATTTGACAGTCCCATTTCCTTTTACGTTCCCCTCTCCTAGGGGTAGCTTTTCGGCGTTCTCCAAAGTTCTGTCTAGCTTTGGTGCCCAAAGCTTCACATACAGTAAACTTCCTACTGAGCAAACCTGCGGGATATTTGTCAAGAGAGGGATAGGGAAAGGCCCTCTGGGTTGAGGTGGACGTAGCTTCGTGGATGGGGGCTAGGAGGGAAGGTGGAGCGCAGTGGACCAAGGGCCAGAGTGCCCCCCTCTTCCCCTTAGGTGCCTTGCATTCGGCAGTGGCTACCTTGGCAGGAAACCGCATCCACGACCGAATTCTGTACAAAATTCCCTTGGACAGAAGTTAGAAAGAAGCTAGTGTAGAGAGAGACATTTTGCTTCTAATAATCGCGTTAAGTATACCTACAGTACGGCCCAAGCGGCAGCAGACACGGGATTCACGGTCCCCACGTGCTGCTGGGGTTGGCGCAGACCCATCCGCGGGCATCGCGGCGGACGTGACACCGCAGTTTCTCCGAATTCCTGCCATCTAGGGTGGTGCAACCAAGGGAGGGGGTCACGGGGAGGTGGAGTGCGAGGCTGCGGATTCCGCTCTCTGCAGAGAACTGGAGCTTGGAACAGCGCGAAACTCCGAAGGCGTTCGCATTCAAGAGAAAAGCAACGCCCGGCTGTGGGTGGTTAATAGCTGGCTTCCCACCACCATGAGGCACGTCCCTGGCGGCACCTCTGCCATAATTAGGATCTTTCTTGGGTCTTTGCTACCCTAGGCTGCGGACTGGACTTGCGCTCCGATGGCCACTGCCCTCTCTGGGGAGGGTGGACCTTCAAACGCGACTCCCTTTCCCCACAGGGAGTCAGCTAGAGTCCCTAGCCTTCTAGACCTGAGAGTTACCGGGCATCCCGGGGTGTGGTTCATTCGTGGGGGGGTGGGAGGGCTTTCTAGCCTGGGTGCTGGGCCGCGTCTGCAATGCATCGCCTTAAGCTGCCCTCCTGTACTCTGCGCCGCTCAGAAAGGAGAGAGACAGAGAGGGGAGGGGTCGCTCTTAACTATGAAGTGACACGGTGGTCTACCTAGAATGTCAGTGCCTGGGTGTGTGCGGGTGTATGTATGTGTGCTGCGGCCGAGGAAGGGGGGGGGGGTTCTACTGCCAAGGGCAGGGCGGAGGACAGCGAAGGCCAGCTGGTAGAGTGAGGGAGCCTGCCCAGGTTCAGCTGCGGTGATCACCCGGCACTGCAGCTAAAGGGGCTGGTTGCACCCAGCGTGCTCCCCGCCCCCCCCCCGCGCCTTCCCTGTGTTCCCCGGCTTTTCCAGTAGGGAAGATGGGGTGCCCATAGCGGGTGGGGCGCGCCGGGCTGCCCAGTTGGGCGGTCACGTGTCCCCCTCCCCCCGCTACTGCAGCGGGAGTTCCAATCAGAGCGCGCCAGGGGGCTCCTCCCGGGCAGGAACCACCGGGCTCAGCGACGCGGGGTGGGCCGCCGTCACCTGACCGCCCGCCCCCGCCCCCCCGCGAGTAAGGGGCGGTGGTAGCGTCTGCTCGGTTACAAATGGCCCCTCCCGACCCGCTCGCCCGCTCGCTCGAGCTCGGCGCGGACCCGCCCGGGACTGCTCCTCGGCAGCAGATGCCTGGCTCCCACCGCCCTACCCGGCGCCGGCGATCCGGCCACCTCGGAGGGCACGCTCAGACACCCCGAGGTCCGGCCACCTCAGTGGGTGCACTGGGCACCCCGTGTTCCGACCACACGGCTAGGCGCGCTGGCCACTCGGGTGGGCGTGCTGGGCTTCTCTGCGGCGGAAGTCTGGACCACGGCGTGTGACTCCCGTTCTAGCAGTCGGTGAGTGCCCAGAGGGAGCGCAGGCGTGGGGATGCTGTCCGACCGTGTGGGGACCTCGGGGTCCTCCGAGGCACCGGCGGATTGATGTAATGACTAAGTAAGGCTTGCAGAGCGAGTCCGAAGTCTCTTGCCTTCTGGGCCTCCTTTTTGGAGTTTCCCCAATCTCTGGTTTGGGAGAGAGCTTTGATTTGAAGAATTCTTGCCTTGAGATACTTGACAAAGGTTGAAAAGACACTCAGGTGGGAGCCGGTAGCTGCAGCTAGCTGGCGCGGGTTGGGTACTGCCCGAGAGTCTGAATGTGGGGGGCGGGGGGCCCTTGTGAGAATCAGACCCAGATAGGGCGAAGCCTCTGTGTCCGGTCACTCTGTCCCCCAAAGCCACTTGAAATGCCAGCGAGAAAGGGAATCAGAGTGACTCCAGATGTCGCGGTGCTAACCAGCCAACCCCCTCGGTTTGTGATCTACCCCTGTACTGCAGGTGATTCTGCCAAAGAGGCGTGAGACTTGAAGGCACCTAGGAAATATTCTTTTTTTTTTTTACTTTATGACTTTTTGGCAGAAAATACGTGCTAAAGTGTTGAATTACGAGGAAAGGTGAAAAACCATTTAATTCGCAGGGTTTTTTTTTTTATAAAGTTTTTGTTTTAAATGCAAGGTAGTACAGATATAGGTATTTAAACCATATTTTGCACTGTACCTTTGGTTTTATGGCTCCGGGTTGCTTTTCTTTCTTAGTAGAGAGTTTCATCCATCTATTTCTTATAATCCTCTCCCCTTCAAACAAAACCCTGAAAATATAAATAAATAAATGAATGCCAAGGTGTGTGTGTGTGTGTGTGTGTGTGTGTGTGTGTGTGTGTGTTCAGGACTGGAGAAAGCAGTAGCTCTGGGGAAGAGAAGATAACCTCCTTTGAAGAGTACAGTGATGGCCAATTTAATTTGTCATATGCCACTGAAGGGAATGTCGAGCTGATAACATGCAGACTGGAGAGAAAATGAAGTAGGAGTTGCCCATGAAGAAAGAAATAGGCTCTAATCCAGTTGCACTCAGGAAAGAGCTGAAGGCTAGCCCTTCCACACTGGAGCCCGAGTCTGTCTTGGGAGAGGGGGAGGGGGAGGGGTGCAGTTTGGGCTGCAAGCTCTGAGTTCAGACACCAAGAAGCATAGAGATGGAGAGAGAAATGGAGGGAGGGAGGGAGAGGGGAGGGAGGGAAGGAGAGGGGAGGGAGGGAGGGAAGAGAGAGAGAGAGAGAGAGAGAGAGAGAGAGAGAGAGAGAGAGAGAGAGAGAGAGAGAGAGAGAGAGAGAGAGAGAGATTGGGAAAATGGGTGTGTCCAAAAGACAGCTCTTGCCCATGTACTTTAGCTACACTGGCTGAAGGATTCAGAGGTCTGCTGACTCATAAGGAAGCCAGCACAGTTAGCTTTTACTTCTAGACCTTAACCATACTTTTAAAATTTATATATATATATATGTGTGTATATATATATATATGTCTTCTTATTGGGGAACTCAGTGCCTCTTGTCTGGGAGATTTTCCTGGGCTTTTAGATTCACCCCCTTCATTTCAATACCTGCCATGTACGCTAACGCATACATCTCATTTGACTTGACACAAAGGTTTTCATCTCCATTGTAATATTAGAAACAGTGACACCCTTAAGCACATGGTTATGTCCACGGTATTTGTGGAGAATATTGGAAGACTGGAATATGGAACAATTCAGTTTTCTTAACAGCAAAGATCCTCTTTGCCATTGCATTGCAGGACCAGGGAGCCCCACCCTGTTTCTGAGCCTCTGCGTGTAACCAGGGAAGGAGCCCTGCAATTGCAGTAGTGGAGGACGAGGCAGTGTCAGGCTTGGGTGTTGCCTGTACTGTGTGTTCACTAATATTCCGGGGTGGGGGGGGGTGGACTTCCAGTCACGTTCAGGACCGCAGAGCCTAATATTTCTCCAGCTCACCTGTCAGCTTGGCAAAAGCGTTATTTATAATAACTTTGAGAGGCTGATTTTTTTTTATGGAAAGATACAAGGTGAGAACTGTATCCAAACTTTAAGGTCTGGGAGGCTGAAAGACACTGAGAAGAACGAGCGGCCAAGGCTTTGGATCTCCCGATAAAAATCTCTTTATAAAAATAAGGTTTTGGAGTTGTTATTGCTTTGTTTTGTCTGATGAAGGTTTTCAGGTAATCTATGAAATAAGCCAGCAGGTGGGATAGTCAAGAACCTGGTATCTTCGTGAGGACAGGAAGAAGAAATAGATGAATGGACCAACCCTTTACTGCAAGGTCCACAAAGCAGAACCAGGTCAAGCTAGAGGAATGCCTCCTCGGAGGACAGGATGTCACATCTGTAGGAAAGGAAAGTGTGGTAAGCCCCTTGAAGTAAAAGGCATTACGAATCCCTAATTCCCGTTGCCGCCCTGTGCCCATGCCTTCTGCAGACAGCAGGGCTGACCAAGAGGAAGGGAGAAAGGCCAAAGCCTTTTTGCTTTCCTTATTTTTTTTTAAATCTGAAAGGTGCCCACTTGGTTACCACCCTTTCTTAAGGTAGACACATTATTTGAAGAGAAGAAAACGATGCTTCTCACCTGATTGCTAGGATGAGCTAGCACATTTCCAGATCTGGCTGGACCTGTTAACACTTACCTCAGCCATTTCATTACTCGGAGTGAAAATGGCGTGCTCCTTTTTAAACTGATAATTCAAGCTCAAAGCTGATAAAGCGTCTTCTGTTCCCCCAACACATACACCTTCCCCCTGCCCCTTACATTCTCTTCCCCTCTCTTCAACCTACAAACACGCCTACAAATCCAGCACCGTGAAGGCATTGAGTCACAGGGACAAACAAATCAGATAAATTGCCTGCGATTGCTGGTCATTCTAAAATCAAAATCGACTTCCGTAGTTTCGGGACTCAGACTGGCAGGCTGGCTGTAGCGCTCTGCCTGGATGATAGTGTCTTGGCAGTTATGCTCCAAAGAGCCTTTTCCTCAGACATCCAGTGATTATCTAAGGAAGTTGGCACTGTCTACTTGTTTGCTATTGATTGCAGCAGGAGAAGACTCCATAATATTACTGCCTTGAGTTCCCACAGTAAACCATACACACAACATTGTGAGAGGAACATTCCAGAACATCCCAATGAAGCTAGCGACCCGACCGAATTAACACCTGGACTACCAAAGCACTCCAGCTATTCTCATTTTTTACCCCAAGAGCGACGTTGCTAATGAACACAGCCTTTTCAGGACACTGGGGAAGGCTGAAGGACAAAGGGAGGGGCGCTCTGCAGTCTTACTTGGAGCCAGCCTCTGAGATGCTCTTTCTTTATCTGAGTATGTTACATCACACCTGTGATTTATGAGGACTTTGTTGAAAACCCAGTTTGCAAATCAACTTATTTCAGGGAATTTTAGATTTGTAATACCATTAGGTTTTTTTCTTTTATTTGAAAATTGATACATTTTATTCTGTGTGTGTGTGTGTGTGTGTGTGTGTGTGTGTGTGTGTGTATTGTATGTATTGTATGTGTTTGAGAGCCTGAAAGCAGCTTTTTAAAAACTGGAAACTGGGTGTGGTGGTACATGCCTATGATTCCAGCACTCTCGAAAGGCTGAAGGAGGAGGACCCATGTCCGAGGCCAAACCTTGTCTCAAAACAAACAAACCACAAAAGCCCCAAGCCAGCAGTCCTGGCCCCAGCATTTCATTTTAAGTGGCATCAAATACTTGCACAGCCATTCCTGCAGGATGCGAGAATGTGCTTTGCGTGCACATTCTGTTGCATGCACACACGTCCTACACAGACTGAATCTGCTGCTCGGGATTATTCGATTTCCATTCTGAGGAGACTCTGGGGTTGTCAGGAGCATTTTCATTTGTGTCCTTTCCTATGGAGATTAGATTCTGATTCCGTCTACCTGGGCTATCTCAGGATCATCAAGGCAAGTGAGAAATGACTATTGGTATTCCTATAAGCAAGGAAGGTACTCTCCCTTCAACCCCCCAACCCCCCCGCCCCGCCCAGTGTCTCAATATGTCATCTTTTGGGTTGCTAATTTGGAGTCAAAATACTGTGCACAACCCCGGACTCATCTGCTTTGGTCAAACAACTGCGAACTTCTCCCCAGGCACCCGCGGACTCTGCAGATGACCCCAGCTGCTAACACTCTGGCTGTTTTGCTCTTGCAGATGTTCCGACACATGACCGCTGCCCTTCTGCCCGAGAGTAGTTCAAACTGTAAGTCCAACAAACCAAATAATTAAATGTCGATAGTTTTAGAGATCTATACTGATTTTCCAGTCTGTCTACCCAAGATTCAGGAAGAGGGAAGGGGAGTGGAGGCGGTGGCTTGGGGGGACATGTAACGCACAGACATTCACCCAGTGTGACTTTCTGAATGCCTAGGCCTTTGCAACCTTTTAACCGCCTTCCTTTTGCCCTCGCTCCTCCTTGCTACATTGTAAGAGGGGCGTGAAGCTTTCCTATCCTGGTAAACGCCTAATTGATATTTCCCTGATGTCTTTGTCTTTCTTGGTGGCCCTGTATGTTCTAGTGTCTTAGTTCAAGCAGATGGCTCTTAATGTGTAGTTACCTCCAGACTCAGGAGCTGAATTCTTTGGGGGCATCAGATGAAATTCTGTGGTCAGCACCTTAGCCACGCACACTAACCAAAATGCCAGCTCCCGGCTGATGAAGGCTGTGCTCTTGGGGTACTGTACTAGTAGGTTATAAAAAAACGGGATGTATTAAAGTACCCAACGGAGAGGCTGCATGGCCCAAGAGTTTACAGATTTCCCCAGGGCTGGATCTGCCTTCTCCACTTATGGGTATCAGGTGCTTCCATGTGACTCTAGAAGCAAGGACGGTCGTCTGTACCCTAAAGGGACGGGTGCCAGGAGAGACACTCTATCCCTACTGCTTCACACACCTTGATATGTAATTTAAGATATTAAAAAAAATCCTCAGGCGTCTAATGCTCTCTGTCGGTGGATGGGCTCAGCAAAGCTAGTTTGTTTGTTTTTTAATAGAAAAGACATTTCTCTTATCATCTCTCCTGTTTTTATGACATCCTGTGTCTGCCTCCTTGTCTAAAACACAAAATTCTGTATCGTTCGGTTCACTTAATACCACTTCCATTTTTGTTTCTCTGCAGCTTATTGCTAGAGCCACTAATAGACTTTCAACACAAATAGTGTATTGATCACCGAAATCTCTTTCGAGCTTGACTGAATATACATAATGGGGTGTCAATCGGAGAAAAATCTCATAATAAATGGCAGGCGACTTATATTCATGAGAAAAATGTCTTGGGCAGCACACAAAATATCATGTCTACTGTAGCATGACAGGCTAACCTCACCGGTCTCGACCAGTCTCTGCCGCATTTACTAGCCAAGGCAGGGTTAGAATGCCGAGCTTCTGAGCCTTTCCTTCCTTTGTTTGCGTGAGAGGCATTTTTGTACACTCCACAGAGTATAAACATCTTCTAGTAGCACAGCCAGCAAGAAAGATCTTTTATACCTGAGGAATTCATAAATTGCAAACAAATCTGTTTAAGCTGATGTATATTTAAAATCAGCTACTGATTTATGCAGTCCATATTTTTAAAATTTTTTGCCATGTGTGTACCAGGGCACGCACACACTGTATGCAAATATTTTCAATGCATGTAAGGGAACACACAGTATATTTAGAGAGAAGCCTGTTTTACATAAATTATTTTTAAGAACAACCAAACAGAGGAATAGCCATGCATTAGGAAAGCCAAATTTTAATCCCCCCAGCCCCCTTTAAGCTTGCTGTTGGATGATATGTGAAGGAATCTCATTTTTATAATTTTATATGCAATTCTGTAAACTAAATTTTCCTGCCAGAAGCCTTGGATTATTTCTGCAAACCCAGTACCGGAGAGGCTGAGGCAGGTGGCTAGCTATGAGTTCAAGGCCAGCCTGGGCTACGATGTGAGGCTCAGTGTCAAAACAGTTGAATTACCAGGCTTGACGGCCCACACCTTTAATCCAAGCACTTGGGAGGCAGAAGCAAGAGGATCTTGGTGAAATCCAGACCAGACCCATCTACATAGCGAGACCATGTCTCAAATTTAAAAAAAAAGTGATCAATAAATCAATTCTTTAAAAAAAGATGGAGATGGCTACAGCTAGCCTACTCTTACATGGCAAACTACAAACCAAGGAAAGACCTTGTCTCAAGAAACAAGGAAGATCGTGCCTGAGGAACAACAGCTGGAGTTAGCTGACCTCCGACCTCCACACTTACATGCATGTACACCCACATGAACATGTACTCACACACGTGCACAGTCACTACTTCTACTACTACAAAAGATAGATATCTCTTTTCCTCATGGAGCAGTCATCGAGATGCTAATGTTCCCACTGAGAAGGGACCTCCAGGGTGGTACGTCCCTGGGCGATTGTAGGCATGTCTGGCATGCACTGACTTGGCAGCTGGCTCTGTGCAGCCATCAAGCATGACTCCTCCCATCAAGCATGACTCCTCCCATCAAGCATGACTCCTCCAAGCAAATGAAGCCAATGGCCTTTTGCTAACCAGATTTTGGTTTTGTAAAAAACGGTTTAGTGTGTGTGTGTGTGTGTGTGTGTGTTTACAAGTTCTGATGGAGCACATACCACAGTGTGCTGTGGAAGCCAGGACAACTTGTGGGAGGCAGGTCTCTCCTTCCTTCCACCACATGAGTTCCCAAGGTCAGCTCAGGTCATCAGGCCCTAGCAGCAAGTTCTGATATGCTGGGTGTGTGAGGGGCGTAGGGGCATGCAAAAAGAAATTGGTGGTTGGAGAGATGGCTCATCAGGTAAGAGCGCTTGCTGCTTAGATAACCAGGCCCTGAGTTCAGATGCCAACACAGGTGAACAGTCGGATGTGGTCGTATGTGTACCTGTAACTTCAGCGTTCTGTGGGCAGACATGAGGATGACTGAGGCTTGCTGGCTGCCAGCCGATCTCAGGTTCAGTGAGAGATCCTTCCAAGTGAGTAAGACAAATGACATCTTCCTCTCACTTCCTGTATATGTATGCACACAGACACACACACACACACACTGGCCTCCTTGTGTATATGTACACACTCACACTCACACGCGCACACACACACACTGGCCTCCTTGTATATATGTACACATACACTCACATACACACACACTCTCTCACACACTCAATCTGGCCTCCTTGTGTATGTATATACACACACACTCACACACACACAGAGGCCTCCTTGTATATATGTACACACACACACACACACTGGCCTCCTTGTATATATGTACACACACTCTCTCATACACACACACAGAGGCCTCCTTGTATATATGTACACACACTTACACACACATGCACACACTCACACTCATGCACACATCATTGCCCCTTGGACAAGTGTCTGTCCCTGCTCCCTGCAGCATTGGAAATGTGGTGATGTGCAGTGTGTTGTGGCTTTCATGGTTTGCACCTCAGGTGGCATTTATACTGATCAATGTGCCACTCAGGACAAGTAAAACTGCGGGCGTTGAGCTCCAACCTTCCCTTTCCATAGCAAGAGCTTGCATCTTTTTTCCCCCTGCTTCTTTGATGAAATGTTTCTGACTTGTTTTTGTTTCGTTTCAAGTTTTTGGCTAGCAAATGGATTGGGTGCAAATTTTGCTAAGAAGGTGGATTACCAGAAAGCCGGCATTTAGCGATTCAGGCATGTGTATTACGGGAAAGCTGCCCTTACTAATAGATGATAACTATAAAACACACCTGATGAATGATCTACATGTATCCTTACATATGTCAACAACTTGGTTCCAATTAGAAACTGGGTAGGCTGTGTGTGACTTTGCAGAGACAGTCAGTTACATGCTTATGCTTGAAAACTGGTGAGGCTTTAAGGCAAGGTAAGCTTCAACTCAGCTGTAAGAGCAAGCCTCATGCATTTTAACCTAAAGAGAAGTATATATGTAAAAGCTGGAAGAAAACTCGGACTTCTTGGCTGTCAGTGATGAAAAAGAAAATTAAATCCCAGAGAAAAGAGAATTGGAAAGAAAAAAATTCCTAAAGAATCTGGGTAGGAAACCTGCATTTGTAGACCTTGGCTGTGTCGAATGTTGGGTGGGTTATTGTTATATCTCACTAGAGTGGACGAGAAAAGTTACATGACTTTGCCTTGGGCCTGTTGGCACAGGCTCTACCACTGGACCCCCCCCCATACCACATGATCCATTTTCTCATTGAAAGAACATTAAAGTATCTTTCCGCTACCCAATTTGGTAATATCAATAAACACTCTGCTTAAATTGATTGCTTTCTTGCCAGTTTTTAACCTAAACTCAGAATGAGGCTACTTAAAGACAGACAGAACAAGTCTGGTAGAATTAAAAACAGCTTCAATGTGCCTATCAAATTTTTGGTAAAACTGCCATATCATTTTAAAACTGTATTCAAGGGCCAGGAAGATAGCTCAGTCAGTAGAGTTAACTGCCTAGAACCCATGCTAAAAAAGAAAAGGGATGGGGCCAGGTGTGACAATAGACACTTGTCATCCCCGCATTAGGGACACAGAGACAAGAACATCCCTGGAACTCACTTGCTAGCCAGCCTAGCTAAATAAGTGAGTGAGAGACCCTGCCTCAAAAGACAGGGTAGACAGTGACTGAGCAGCAGCCCCCCAACGTTGTCCTCGGGTCTCACATGCGCGCGCGTACACACACACACACACACACACACACACACACACACACACACACACACACAGAGACAGAGACAGACAGACAGAGAGACAGAGACAGACAGACAGACAGAGACAGAGACAGACAGACAGAGAGAGAGACAGAGACAGAGACAGACAGAGAGAGAGACAGACAGAGAGAGAGACAGAGACAGAGAGAGAGACAGAGACAGACAGACAGAGAGAGAGACAGAGAGACAGAGACAGACAGACAGAGAGACAGAGATAGACAGACAGAGATACAGAGACAGAGAGAGAGACAGAGATAGACAGACAGAGAGACAGAGAGAGAGAATTAACACCAGTGCTAAAAAGCAGCGAAACACAAGCTGTTTCACAAACATGATGCCACCGCCCCTAGAGTTTTCTGTTTTCTGGCTGCGGACAAGTTAAGAAAGATCTAGAAGGTCCTCGCTGTGTTTTCAGTAACCTACATGCAGCACGTGTAGAGTTACCAGCACCGAATCGAAGGGCAGCCAAGACTAGTTCTCACAATAATGCAAATGAGACCAAGGGTAACATGTGAATGAGGATGATAATTTGCTTTTAAAAACTTGTGAGGTTGGTTTTTATTCCATTTTAATAAAAAACACATTTGGGTAAAGAAAATTTTCAGTGTGTGTAGTAATGCCGTTATCAGCAGGGTAATCTGGTGTAAATGACTTTTAATAATTTAGTTTTCTGTTTAATAAAAAGTTTATTTTTAGGCTTAATTGCTTGCCAGGGGGAAATTGAGAGAAATTTGCTTAGGGCGTGTAACTGAGTGTCAGGCAAGTTGGCTTCATCAAGGAAACACTGTAATGGAAAAGCCTCCAGCTCACCTCCATGTGTCTCTCAAACCTCTAGATCACCATGAAAGCAGAGAGAGCCAGCAGGAATTCATATCATGCTTATTAATATACGTACACTATATAAGTCTAGGAAATGCTGTAAGTGCTCATTAAGTAAACTGATACTTAAATATGTACGCCATTTCAAATGGGCCCAAACCATTCCTGTTTAACCAGAAGCCCCATGCTTAGACGCGGCTAGGTGTTGTGTAAAACTAGAGACAACAAGCTTGTTTGTTCCCACTACTTAGTTTCACCTGAGACACACACTATATTGAGTTATTTTCTCGAGGGCTGGGGAAAATGTCTCAGCGGGTAAAGCATTTGCAGAGCAAGTGTGAGGAGGACCCGAGTTCTGGTCCGCAGCACTCAAACCTGTGTCAACTGGACGGGATAGTGCACGGTGTGTTGTCGCGGCGTTCTTATGGTGAAGTGGGATGTAGAGATGGGAAAGCCTGCTGGCCTGGCTTACCCTCCCTCACACACACACACACACACACACACACACACACACACACACACACACACACACAGTTATTTTTTTCATTGTCAGGCAGATTGGTCAAAGTCTCACAGAACCCTTTGGGTTTGTTTGATGAGGGGAGGAAGCTTTTTCTTTTGTTTTGGTTTTTTTTTTTTCAAGACAGGGTTTCTCTGTAGCTTTGGAGCCTGTCCTGGAACTCCCTCTCCATAGTGCTGGGATTAAAAAGTGTTTACCACCACCACCAGGCTTACAGGGAGGCAGCTTTTAAGGAGTGAGATTCTTTTTTTTTCTTTTTAAACCAACAAATCCTACTTTCAGCTTCAGTTTCCTCTTTCATATTGTTGTGGCTCTGGTCTCCTTCAGACCGTGTTGTGGCCACAACAGTGTGACAGTTAGACATGCGAACCCAGTGACACAGGAACTGGATTTTGACTCATCCAAGTAGCTGTCTTCTTGTCTGTGGATTCTGTCCCCAGGAATGTGAGCATCCGCTGTCAGAGCCAATGTGACTACCTGCCCTTCAGCTCATCCGTGGGTTTCCCCCAGTGCTTGGGATGGAACCCATGCCTCGGGCAGGCAGCCACTGAACTGCATCCCAGACTGGGCTATCTTTCTGTTCTATGGATGCCCAAGCTTTTCCAGAAAAAAAAAACCTTAAAACCACCTTTTCCTCTTATTCTTACAAAATGAAAGCTTACAGATTCAAGGTAAGATTTTTAAACCGTGAAATGCACACAGCCACACGAGTGGGCTCTTGCATTCAGATACAACCCTTGGACATTATCATTTTTGGGGACACAGGACAAAAATTCAGGCCCCCGTGAGGTTTTCCACACATCGTGAAGCCTTAGCGCCTGCAGATGCTCTCGGCAAATGTCCCTCGGCCCACTGTGTACAGAACTGGGAGGCCTCAAACCAGGCAGACGGACAAACCTCTAAGGCTAGGATTTAAACTGACAGAAAAAAAAAACAAAACAGGGCATGGTGAAGATGTGTAGAGATGACCCTCCCACGCCTCCCTGGGGGTGTGACTAAATGCAAGGAAATCAACCAAACGCAAGCTTTCCCCTCCCTTATCCTTTTCTTTTGTACCCAACAGATATCACTAAAAGCGACTACAGTGAGTGAACCCTCTTAGCATCACTAGCTCTGACGTGAGCTTATTTGGTTCTGAATAGAGTCCGCATCTTAACTGTGTCACCCTTGGAACCCTCTGCAGTAATGGACGTGTTCTGTACCGCCCAACTGCTTAGAGCTTGGAAACAAAAAACAAAAAACAACATTCACTATGGCTAAGAAACTGAATGTGTGACCTTACTTAAAATTTTAAATGTCACATGTGGCTACACATTGGTTCATTTCACTTTGGCGGCATGTGTTGGTTCTGTGCTAAAGTCTTTCAGGCTCGGGAAGTTGGAGGTTGGGTGGTGCCAACCACAGTGTGCCCTAAGCATGGTGGTGGCACATTGTAGCCTGGAGACTCAGGCTTGGTCTGGGAGGATCAACCCCTCTTAAGAACCATTGTGTGTGATGCCACTGTAGCTCCAAGGCTTTGTTTCCAAGGCTGGATAGTCTGGGTGATAGCAAGACTTCTGCAGGTCTTGGCTTATTTGCTTGGCTCTGGGGAAACTTCTGAAATGTTCACAGCAAGTTCTGGCTTTGGGAGAAGAGCTTCTTTCCCGGCCTTGGTGTCTTTTCTTTTGGTAAGGTATTTGGTCTCTCCGTCTGGCTTACATCTGGCCCCTGGCGTGTGAAAGAACATTTCTTGAATCACCTCAGTGCACGCAAGACGCACTAATAGGCTGAGATGGGTCGTTCACACATCAACACGCCTCTAAGCAGAACCATTGACTCTCCCCAGTGTCATGACTGAATTGACCATGAAGGGTCCAGAGCCTGCTGGAGATGCAAACGTCTTCAGGCAAGTAGGCTTTTCCTGGCCGGGCGTTGGTGGCGCACGCCTTAAATCCCAGCACTTGGGAGGCAGAGGCAGGCAGATCTCTGTGAGTTCAAGGCCAGCCTGGTCTACAGAGAGAGTTCCAGGACAGCCTCCAAAGCCACAGAGAAACCCTATCTCGAAAAACCAAAAAAAAAAAAAAAAAAAAAAAAAAAAAAAGTAGGCTTTTCCTGGTGGATCCTGCTTTTGACTGCAGACAGACATGAGGGGGAGGGAGGCCATGTAGCTGTCCTGCCCAGAGTGACCCTGTGCTACACGGAATACACAGAACACCCATGTCTGTGTAAGTGCAGAGAATAGAGCTGAACTAGGCAGGCCTCTATCCCGAGAAATCTCACGCCCGGCCCCATGTCTCAGTTGAAGAATTAGAGCCTTCCCCTTGGTTATGTCTTCAGAGGAACGACAGTGGCAGATAGAGTCGAATCTTGAGAAAGAAGCTGAACACTGGTGTGAGGTCCTTCCCTTCGGTCCCGTGTGCAGCCTGAATTGATGGTGCTGGGTGAGCACTTCAGAAGTATAAGGCCAGTCAGCATTTTTAGGGACCTGAATCAGCATGACACTGGGTTTGAGTGTCCCTGGCCTTCCATTGTAGTCTCATGTCTGCTCAGCCCACTCACCGGGCAGGTTCCCTGGGTCTGTGTCTCCGTGGTCCCCAGCTCCCCAGGCAGACCAGAGTGTTCACCACAGCGTACTCACCCCAGTCTCCTCCCGTGCCACTTTCTCCCAGGAATCTGATGCAGACCTCTGATGCCCCCACCCATTTCTTTCCCAGCTCTGCCTCTGCCTTCCCTTGGGCTGGCACTGTCTCCCGTGTGGGCTATTCCCAGCGCTCCTCCTGCTCTCAGCCTTCCTAATGGCCTCCTGTCTCAGGTTGTCCTTTCCTGAGCTACTAGAGTATCCCTCTAAAAGACCCCAAATGCTTCTCAGTGAGGAAAGAGTAGCACAGACCCCCCATCTGTCCTAGGCCAGTATTCACGATGGCCTGTGGCCACACTGGTCTACTCCTCGGGACCATGCCCAACCAGCCGCTAACCTCCCCTCTTCCCCTACCTGTCTGAGCTCACTGCCGGGTCTGGTTAGCAGATCGCCCCCACAAACTTCCTCCAATGGCTTTTTCCCTACACCCTCTCCTTGGGGTTTTCTGCTCAGCTGTCTTGTTGATGGCTAACCCTCTGGGGACATCCCAGCCAACTCCCAGTTGTACCTTTCTGTCCCCCAGGACAGGACATTTGCAGAGACACACTCTGCCACCAATGCCAAAGGAGTGTGACTGTTAAGTGCTCTTTAATAGGTGTCCTGGGCAGTGAGGGAGACCTTTGGTTTTTCCTTGGGTATTAACTGTACTTCTGCCACTGCTCATGGGTATTCTCTCTGTCATGTATATATGCATGTATGTATGCATATATGTAAGTGTGTGTGTGTGTGTGTGTGTGTGTGTGTGTGTGTGTGTGTGTACTCATGTACTCAGTTTTGTAGTCACAACCTGCTGGGATTTACCACAATTTCCCTCTGTCCTACTGAGACCGAGCAAGTTAAGGAAACCTGTCAGGCAGATATATATCATCCCCTGTCCTGCCCACTGTCACCTCCTCCCTCTGTTAACCTAGCTGCTCAGTGTCCCTGTATCTGCAAAGTGGTTTCCCTTGCCATGATGGTTCTTTTGGAAAGCCCAACCCATCCCCCACATTCTTCTATCATAGAATAAGACCCCCAAGACCTTATGGTAAGGACAGCTGTGAGGAAGAAAGGCTAGTCCATCTCCCCAATTCCTGGCTTCAGGATGGCAAGATCGAAGCTAGCCCAGAAGCTAGCCCAGTGCGAGCTTTCCTAGCTGAGCCTGGGGAGCTCCCGTTTCCATTACTTCTGGTGCCTTGAAAGTCAGGCTTTCAAAGTCGCCTGCCTCCACCCGAGGGAGGCCCTTGGGAAATCTCATCTGGACGTGTGCATGAAGATGCACGCACTGGCCCTGCTTCTGAGTGCTCTTGTTTGAAGAGAGTGGGAGTGGGGTGCTGAGGGCTTCATCCTGCCAGTCAGTCCTGGAGGAGGTGACCATAGCATCCGAAGCTGAGAGGCACCTATCAGAACACGTCTTGGGGGAGTATGGAAGGCGGGGTTCACCGAGTACTGGAGAATGTCAAGTGTAGGCTAGAAGTGGAGGGAGGCAGGCCAGCCAGCAGTGCCAGCTTTAAGTCTGGCTCGCTCTCACGGGCCCTTCAGTTCTGTCTCCTGGGTACCACAAGCCAGATGGACCTCCAGCTGCCTGCCTCGGCCTCCCTGACAGGCTGGACTGGTACAGCATTTCCCGTGACAAGTAGGTGCCAGGCCACTGAGGTCATTGCAAGTCTGAGGGGCAGAGTCGGTGCTGACAGGCTTCCTCACATAGCTCAGTCTTGGGTGGGGCAGAGGGAAGCCGTGGTAAGTCCCTGCAGGCTGTGACTACAAAACTGAGTAGGACGTTTCCATATCCTTGCCACTGGGAGGCCACGGGTGGTGGGGAATGCATGGCCAGCCTCTCCCCCTCTCTCAAGTCACCTCCCTACTTACTGCAGCCCCTCTAGAGCCAGGGGTACACTGAACTGGGGGCCTGCCACCTTTCTGCAACCCTCCTAGGCCACGTCCCCTAGCAGCCCCACAGGCCTGAAGCCTGAGAAGAAGCAGACGGCTCTGGGAGCGCCCCCCCGCCCCATGCACACGCCTCTCACCAACAAGGCCTGGGCCTTCAGGGAGAATGCCTTTCTCCTCTTTGCTGTCAGGCTTGGGGTTGACAATCAAGCCACTGAAAAAAAAAAAGAACAATTCACAACGGGCCTACACAGAGAAGTCTTTTCATGCCACGGATGGCCGAATCGTCCCCGTTGGCACCATTTGTGTCTTGTGTATAGGAAGGGACTGTACTTGAAAATGGTCAAGAAGCCTTGCTCAGAAAAGGGCGTTTGGCCCTTCTGTGGAAAAAGCACCCTGAGAGCGTTCCTTGTTCCCAGCTGTGAGGTGGTCCTAGACCAAGAGCCCTGAGTGTGCTCACTGGGGACAGGGAGCACACTGACACAGTGACAGTCACTCTGTCTGGCAGAGCCTTGGTCATCGAGATTGTAAGGTGGGGAGGCTGATTCACGACTGCCATCGGGTGACAGGCCCTGCCCAGCCCCAGAACCTTCCAAGGAAGGACACAGTGGCCTGTGTGGTCAGGGAATCCAAGGGTGACTTGGGCTTAAGTGGTGATTTGATGTCACGGTACCAAAAGCCAGCACGGAAAGGACAATGGCCGCTGGCCTGTGTGCCCTGTCCACTCACAAAGAGATCTCACAGATACCCTTTGGACTTTTCCCATACAGACATGTTGGTCTGAAGGTGTCTTCAGAGGGACCTGGTGTAACTGTAAAGATGATCTCTGCCTGTGTGAGTCGGGGTAGCTGGGAAGCCCCCCACCTTGGCTGATCTGCTCCCCACTGGGCTGGCTATACCAAGTCAGGTCTCTTTTGCAGTACCTGTCCTACCTTAATAGGCTTCTGGAGAAGCAGGGGTGCCTGGAATGTGGGCCCTCTGCAGGTCAGAGTCACACGTAGTCACTGGGCCAGGGTCAGGGACATCCTCTGAATTGGGAATGTCCAGGTCCCTTGGCCACCTAGACCTTGAGCAGCAACATAAGGGAACTTCTCCCTTCCCCTCGCTCATTATCATGGCTATGTTAACTTTGCAGCATTGTCTGGGCTCCCTGCCTGACTGGCTGTTTCTGTTTTATCTCCATAACCACCCATGCATTTTTTTTTTTGCTTTGTTTTGTTTTTGCAAGTGAAGGATCCGGCCCAGAGTGGGCAGGCCAATGGCTCAAGGTGGCATGCCGTTTGCTATCCTGATTTCTGAGTCCTGGACTCCACACAGTCTCAGCCCAGGCGTCCAGGCCCACCACACCACCCACTCCAGGTGCTTCTGAGTCATGAGCTGTGAAGAGGAAAAGGAAGGATGGAGCCAGAGGTTTGGTGTGCTCCAGGCCCTCATTTCCCATAGCTGCCTCCTCCCAGCTGGGCTAGCGAGCCTCTGTAACCATCCGCGCACTCCCCAGGCTCGATCCTCTCTGACGTATAAGTGACTCATTTCCTCAACTTTCCCCTTTTCTCTACTTATTAGAAGAATAAACATCTTGCATAGAGGTTTATGTCTACCTCAATTAAATGTTCCAAGGACTATCAGAAATATATATATATATACACATATATATATTAATTTTAGACCCCTGTTTCAGCAAAATCTGGAGCCATGTGCCCTCAGCCCTAGAAATGGGTTTGCGTGGTGTCAGCACCCAGGTATTCTTATCTCGCAGCAGCCTTAGTCAGAAGAGGTTAGAAAGATGTGTGTGAGTTTCCTTGTTATTGTGGTCAAATATCCTAAAGAAGCAACTTCGGGATGGAAGGGTTTATTCTGGCTCATGACTTGGAGGAATGCAGTCCATCATGGTGGCCAAGGCAGGACAGAACTGAGGCAACTGTGCCTACAATGTATCCATAGTCAAGACAGCTGCCTACAATGTATCCACAGCCTAGAAGCAGCGACAGATGGACTCTCGGCTCATCTCCCTTTAATGCAGTCTGGGACCCCAGCCCGTGGGATGGCCCTGTCGGCATTTATGGTGGGCCTTCCCATCTCAACTAGCCTAGCCTAGATAATTACAGACATGTCCAGAGGCCTCCGGTCGAGTTGACAATCGATATTAGCCATCACAATTGAAGATCAGGCTAATGCTTTGGGGTACACAGTGTCTGTCATGCCTGGTGCCTCATGGTCATGTGAGCAAAATGAGAACATGAGGCAGATGGGAGGAAGCTGGGGAGTGTGGGGGGGTGGGGGAGCACTGACTGTAAGCCTCCGTGCAGGGGTTTAGCTCCTGAGCCTGTCGTGAGCGCAAGGACATGCCTCACTTAGATGTCTGGGGACACACCCTGCCTGTACCACTTCCTCAATGCTGCGTGTCTCTGGACAAATAATTGAACCTCTCAAAAAATCAGACTTTTGACTCCGTAAAAGAGTTTTGTTGCCACCCCGAGAAGCGTGCCTGCATTGTCAGAGGAAATAAAAGGCTGGTTTCTAGGAAGGGCTATTCAGAGCAAATGGCTGGGAGAACTTTCCACCCAGCCAGTCACAGTGGCAGTCCCCATTTCATATAGACAATGACAGTAACCATCCTAGCCTTCCAAAACCGGGAGAGGTCCCTGCCAGCCCCATCTCAGGACTCAGGGAGAATATGTGCTTAACTTAAGGTTTAATTGAATCGGTTTGTGCCATGTGGAGTTCCACGGAGAATCTGTTCCGTCTTCTGCTTTTTTTGTTTTTTTCTCAATTGCTTCTTGGTAAACGAGGCTAAGGCAGGCATTGGTCCGACCCTGGAACCAGGGCTGGGCTCCAGAACCCCTGTCCTCAAGTGTTTGCACACCCTTGGCTGCCCATTCTTCCCTTGGTTACCTGTGTCTGGTAGGTGAGGACAAGGACAGAGCCCCACCTGCTGCTCTGCATACGCCCCTGTCCTTCTGATTGACATCTGCCTTTTTCAGAAAAAGCCCCTCCTGGGCTCAGACGGCACCACACCCAGTGGTCTGGCTCTGTGCTGCAGCTGGGCTGGTTCTGATCCGTCACATCCTCTCCATCCCTCGTCTAAAGTCAAAGCATGCAAGACGGCACCAGGGGTTTGGGCTACTGTGTATTAAAGATGGAGTGTCATTTAGGAACTCACCCAGTCGTCCTGCCCCGCTGCTCCCTGGCAGGACATTTCTTAGCCTTGCGCTGGTAGGCGGGATGTAAGTATGTTTCAGGGGACGGGAAGTCCCTCCGATGGTTGCCAGGCAGCCAACTGTGTGAGCCCTAGCCTGCTGTCATCCTGGTACCTTCATCTCCCTCACACCCACACACTCCACCCAGAGTTGCCATTAGCTGGAGCCCTTCCTCTCCCTCTGCGGCGCCCAGGCTTCCCATGTGTGTCAGGGCCTCCTCCAGCCCTGCTTCTCGCCTCCCCCACCCCTTACTCATCATCCAGGGCCATCTCGCCCATAAGGATGGGCGTTTGTTGTGCCTCTTTCCTCTTCTCCTCGACTGGGCAGCAGCCTTTCCATGCTTACAGTTCTATTCGTTGCTTCTGGCCGCCACTAGATGTAAGTTACACCCCGGCTGTGTGTCTGTGAATCTCTGCGCCTCATCCCTACCGCCATCCTGACTATCGCGGTTCAGGAGCGGAGAAATGAACCCAAGAAGACATACGGACCAGAAAATGTCTGGGAACTGCCCCCCCTCAGGCCAGAGGACCCATTGGAGGTAACTGGGTAAGAGCAAGTAGCTATAGAAAGAAGCCTCCCAGACCACCCACCCACCTCTTCTGCCTTTGAGAGCTACCAGAAGCCTCTCTGGCCCAGGCAGCACAAGTACTTCTGGGTACATGAAGGAACGGGGCATTTCCTCTCCCCTGAAGAGTGTTGAACTTGACTATGCTGGGTAGGTCGCAAGAGCCTAACGTGACTCCTTAAGGGCCTTTGACCCGGGTACAGTACTGACGCTCTGGGTTCACTGATATCCAATCCTTGTAGAGTTTTTTTTTTTTTTTAACTTCGTTTAATTCTCATCAGAGGAGGAAGTGGAGGGAGCCTCAGAGAATCTGGTACTGCCTCCCTCACCCTCCCCTCCCCTCCCTCCCTCTCTTCTCTCCCTTCTCCCCCTTTCCTATCCTCATGAGCATGCCCTGAGCAATTCTCCCAGGAAGAAGCCAGCGTTCAAATCTCTGCCTCCCGATATCTCGTGGTAACAAACCACTTCACAGGGGAAACTGGAGTGCTCCACACAGCCATCGCCAGGTCATCGGCAAGATGGGTCGGGCACACACACCAGGGCCATTCAGAGACGATGACTTGTAAGAAAAGGGCGGAGTCTCTACCCGTAGAATGTAGGTCCTGTCTGGATTTGTCTAGGAGAGGGTTGCCATCTGTAACTGACTGAGGCTCAACCAAACAGGCTAGAGGTCTTGTGCCGGGACCGAATGTTGTCAGTACCTGCGTGGAGTGTGGGGGAGATGGGCAGCACTACAGAAGGGAAGACAAACCAGGCTGCAGTCTCCTCTGGGTGTGGCCGCACTTGCACCTCCATCAGCACCTGGGGGATGTGAGGTGTGGGGCAGTCTGGGACACTGCAGAGAGGACGTCATTCACGCCACCGCCGCAGGCGGGCTAGGCGGACCCTGAAAAGGCAGCGGGGATGAGACAGCTAAAGGGAATTCACCACAGAACAGAACTCAGACGGTAGACGCCAGGGTTCAGGCGGCCCTAGGCATGGCGGCCCACAGCCCTAGCTAGCCCTTGGGTGGTAGGAATTCAAGGATAGCCTTGGTGACACAGAGAATCTGAAGCTTGTGTGTGAGCTCCATGAAACCCAGTCTCAAAAGCAACCAGGAAAAGAATCCAAGAGGCTACTGGGTGTGAGCCTGGGTGTCTTGGTGTATGCTGTCAGGGTTTCAGACATGCCACTTACTGGCCCTGCGGCCTGGGAGGCTTCCGTAACTCCTCAGTAGCCCTCAGAACAGCCTCTCCCAGGCTGCTATCCCATGTGCTCCCCCCCCCCCCCCCAGAGCATCTCTGGCCCATCGGCTGTGATCTTTCTGACGCACCCACCACTTCCTGAAGCCTGTCCCAGCACCCTTGCCAGTCAGCGTCCCTGCTGTGGGGAAGCTCACAGAAATTCCCAGGCTGTGCTGTCAGGGCTCACTGAGGTGCGTGGGAGAGTGCATGGTCATGGTCAATGTTTCTCCAGCCCACCCTTTCTCTTATCACTCTGCTGTCTTCTCCTCCCTGCTTGTTCCCTGCAGGGCTTTCAAGGCCATGACGCTCTTCCGCTCTTCCTCCCCCCCCCCCCCCCACCCATGGGAGCTCTGCAGTAGAAGTTCCGTTTGCCCTACTTTATACCTGAGGCGGACCTGAGGGGAAACAGCCAGGAAAGCAGCTCCCGTCAGTCCTGACTGCAACCTCTCTCCAGCTCCTTCAGACCGTAGCATTTCATCGCAGCCTCTCCCGTCCAGGAGCAGTTGAATTTCTACTCTAGGAGGCATAGTGACTGGAGAGACTGAGGCAGCAAGATTGCCTAAGACCGACCTGGGCAACACAGTTAAGACCAAGTCTCAGAAAAATGCGTGGATGGGAGGGAGGGAAGGGAGGAAGAGGTCGCATATTTGGTCCCAAACCCCACAAGCTATAGGAGCCATGGGACAGGAAGCTGCCTCTTCCTCTTGGCTGAGTTCAATCCCGCACTCAGCCGTAGGGGTTACAGTGTAGGTCGGGCAAATCTGAGCTCCAATGGCAGGAAGGGTCTACACCACCAGGCTCACTTTAATCCACTCTTGGACTAATCCACTCCTGCTGACAGCACTAGCCCACGTAGGGAACAGTAATGGTGGCTGAGGGTGGTCGGGATTGAAAGACACCCCTCAGGGGTTCCATTTTCGGGTTTCCTGTGGAGTAACAGACAATCCCTCCTGCTGTGAACTGGGGTGTTCCAAGCCTCCGGCACCTTAGAGTCAGCGGACACAACCCTAGGACATCAGCCATCGGGTCACCTCCTTGCTGTCGCCGCTTTGCCCCTTCTGCAAAGTAGAGCCGTCGCTACCAAAGCTTACTGTAGGGCTCCAAACGTCAAATTTGTATAAATGTGACCACATTTTGGATCTGTTGCGTTTTTCCCTTTCAAACACCGATACAGTAATCGTTTCAACCACTCTGTGTCGACCCTGTCACTGTGTGGGATAGAGCCCCCCCTTTTTTCTTTGTAATTATGTTGTTGTAACCCTTCGTGAGATGCTCTGACAGCACTCTCGGGCCAATGGTGCTGCTGCCGCTGCCATGTCAGCGTGACAGCCAATGCCAAGGCCAGGCAAGAGCATCTCAGAGAAGGAAGGGCCAGGAGGCTAGGGCACTCACTGAGCAGGCACTCAAGACCCAAGGAGCCCTCTCTATCCCAGGACACCCCCAACTGGCAGTCACAGCCCTGGGTTGTGGTGTGGGGCTGTTTTGGCTTGCTATCTGGAATTCCTCGGCCAAATTAGTCAGAAAGTGGACCCACAGCCTCTTTCCACACGGGCCCTTGGTCTGTGTGCCAGGAACTCCGTCTTGCACTGTTTTGTAGAAA